CATCAATGAACAATTGAACAATGTTCATACATGGCTTTGTGCTAATAAACTCTCTTTAAGCATAGATAAATCGAATTTCGTAATCTTCCATCCTTCACAAAAGAAACTGCTACATCAAGTAGAAATCTTTATCACCCCTCTAAAAAAGGTGAACTTATTAAAATACTTAGGCGTATTCTTAGATGCGCATCTCAGTTGGAAGCCTCATGTTGAACATGTTTGTTCCAAAATCAAACGCAATATTGGTCTAATATCAAAAGTGCGTCATTTCGTGACCACAACTGTTTTGTCACACTTATACTATTCATTAATCTACCCATGACTTATCTATGGTGTAGTGGTATGGGGTCACACTTATGATACTACTTTAAATCCTCTATTCATTTTACAGAAAAAATTAGTTCGTATTATGACCTTTAGCTGTTACGATGCACATACTAATCAACTATTCTGTAATTTGAAATTACTAAAACAAACTGGTATTATTTTCCTTCAACTGCTTTATTTATGTATGATTATTATTGTGGAAATTTGCCTGCTGTATTCTCAGATTTCTTTACTCAAGTGAGCCAAATACATCATTATAATACTAGACTAACTTCTAAACTAGTTTACTCCCTCCCCAGGGCCTAGTTTTTCAAAGCCCAGTTGTTCAAAGCCCGATTAGTGCTAATCCTGGGTTAACTCTTAATATATATATTTAGGCACTGCCTAAAAGCGGAGCTCCCGATACGAAAGTCACAGGGATAACAATTTGAATGAAAATGAAAGGTAAAAATAAGATCGGAAAAAAATCTYCAATTATCCTTTATTCGAGATGAAGATAATTTCTCCCATAATGAAAACCATGCAGTGAAATCGAATCAAAATGCACTACATAGTTTTGTTGTTTTTTTCTCCCACTTAAGAATTTTGTACACAACTCACCACCACCCCCAGGGGCTAGTTTTGTTCTTGGAAGATTCTTCGACAAAGTTTTCCAAGGCCGACARTTTTAGGCTTTGAATCACTTTTAGTTTAAAAAAACGAAAGATAACTACAGATAATCCAACACAACATCAAGTTTAGTGAAATTTACCTCGGATGTCTTTCATTGAAATCGAAAATCTGGAGATTTAGGACAAATCAAGATTAAAAAACAGACTTGAAAACTGGTTAAGGTGAGCAGAAAATAAGCTTACAACGAGACGAAGTTTACATTCAGTTACACTTGACCAGAACAATTGAGACAAAATAGAAAATAATGCAAAAGGCAAGGCAAAATACAGAATGACGAATTTCTTTGTCAGTAAATTGGTATTTGTAAATGTTTTTGAATATTTTT